ACACGGCTGCATCGCTGCCGCCTGGGATGGAGCTGGGGGAAACCTCAACACTGCTCCCCACGGGAGTGATGCCCTTTGCTGTCCAAAACCAGGGGACAATAGGATTGAGAGTCAGGGAAAAAAAAGGCATCTTGGCATGCTGTGATTTGATTAGAGCTACGACGCTACTGTAGGGATGGTGTCAGGCTGAAGCCTGGCCGTAGCCAGAGCTGGCTCCAAGCATCCAAGAGGACCCACCTCCTTCACTGCAAAAAGTGGGCATGGAGCAGAGGAGGAGCGGGAGCGAGAGCGCATGGCTCGGCAGCATCATTGATTAGCAGGATTAACAACTGTGCAGCAGAGCGTGCTGACAACGGAGAGCCCAGGGTGTTTCACACATGGCCAGTGACATCGGCATCCCGAAAAGTCCCTCATGATCTGCTGCACCACGGGGAAGTCTCGTACCCAAGACCCAGCAAAGCTTGGCCAGGGCGATGCTGTACCGCAGCTGGAGAACAGAGGAAACTTTTGGGTGTCAAATGGAACAAAACCTGCTTATTTTACCCATTTCAGCTGAGTGCAGGTTTGGGAGACATACCTGGATTTTTGTTGTGTGCCTGGACAACCAAGAAACCAAACTAACCTCCAACCAAGAACCACTTTGAACCTTGGATCCCTTCTCCCCGTGAGCGAATACGATGCTTTTTTTGAACTGGAATCAGGAAATTTCCTGGCCGCGTTCCCCTGTTGGCTGACACCGAGCACAAAACCTTAACCCTCTCCACCACCTTTGGCCATGGACATGGCCTGGCCGTGGAGGGACATAGACAAGAGCAATGTGACAACACAAAGAAGCAATCGGCCACTGGAAAAAAATAGAAAAGTCTTTATAACAAAAGAAATACCCGACAGTAAAACTGGTACCACTGTGATTTGCAGCAAGCACTTTTGATTCTGAACAGTTTAACAGATAAACGAACCCGCAACCTTAATACCGCAGACCACCTTTAAATGTGAAAATGTTTTTGCTACCATTGGCAGAGAAATGTGCAGAAAATAGGTCAGCTGCAGCTCCCATCACTGAGTTTAAAGTCAAGTGCTTTTGCCCAGCATCATTGGGAAAGCAAACCAGAGGTTTGCTCAGGGCTGATTTTGCAAGTTCCAGGAAAAAACGCAAAAATAAACAGAAAAAAAAAAAATCAATAGCGCTTTTAAATCCGGTCTGCAGGAGTGGGGAAATGGAGTTTGGAGAAGAGCTCTGCTTGGGCTCCCATCATATCACAGAAATGAGAAATGGAAATCATTTATCAGAAGGATTTGAGGCAGAGTCAACAGCTCCTCGCTTTGAAAAGCTCACACAAGCTGTCCGAGTATGGTTCAGTTTGCTTCTCGGCAATGAAATAACACTTGAGGAATTATTTCCCTTTGGCCCTGGGGATTTTTAACTTCCCCCCCGCCTCCCTTTTCCTGGCACACAGCTCCAGCCCAGATCCAACGTCACGACCCGCTGAGCTCACTCTTCCTCCCAAAAGTGCAGTGGGAATGGATCCGCTGCTGCCCTCTCCTGCCCCCAGCCCCGTCCATACTCCTCGTGGTGAAAGCAGAAGGCAGCAGCCCACCCCTACCCTGTCCAGTGTCACGGTGATGGGACCACATCACCCCATCATAGAATCATAGAATGGTTAGGGTTGGAAGGGACCTTAAAGATCATCTAGTTCCAACTCCCCTGCCATGGGCAGGGACACCTCCCACTAGAGCAGGTTGCTCAAAGCCCCATCCAGCCTGGCCTTGAACACTTCCAGGGATGGGGAATCGCTGCCTCCATCCCTGCCTGCCGCCACAGCACACAACGGAGCAGCATTGCCCTGCACCATGTAGCTCAGGCGCTAAAAAATTTAATAACATGCACGTTATTAAAAACAGGACTATACAGACCACGGTCAGACGTCACTGTAGGATGGGCAGCTTCACACTGCACATTGCAGCCCCAGTATCCCTGTTGCTGAATTTGGAGAGAACCTTTTGCCCTTCATTTGTGGTTGTTTTTCCTCGTTTGCAGAGTCTTCCCCAATTAATGGGTTCCCTTGGAGAAAGCGGATCGGAAACCCCATGAGAAATGCTCAGCCCATGCTGTTAAAAGGCCAGAGCAGAGAAGCTGGTGGTAAACACCCCGGGGAATTCGCAAATTCCTGGGTGATGACACTGAGAGCCCGGGGGTAGCAACGGGGGTTCCCAAAATATCACATCTGTAAGAAAATCTTGCTTTGATCAAGTCATCTTCAGGCTGAACAAAAGCAAATCGCTTTCTGCAGCGCAGAAGAACAACCAGCTCTTTTATACTGAGAAGCAGATGGACTAAATGACCTCCTGAAACCCTTTTTTTCCCCGTTTCCTAAGCTCCTTTAATGGGAAGAAAAAAAAAATAAAAAAATTAGTGCAACATCCAGGGATCAATAATCCTTACAAAATCCTCCTGGAGGTAGGCACCCTGCGCTGGCGATGGGAATCGCAGCTGCTAGCGGCCATCCTATAAAGGCAGTAAGAGGAGCCAAGCACAATTTGGGATGCAGGAAGGCATAATGCTCTCATTTACACTAAATAAGGTTGCTAGGTTATGGATTTTTTTGAGGGGGGGCATAATCTGAAAGGGGATCCAGATGGCTGCAAAGCCTCACAGTGGAAAAGCAGCATGAGGCCAGAGAGGGAAGAATTCCTCTTTATGCTGCTGCCGTCTGCTCCTGGATCCTGGATTTCAGTTCTCAGGAATGCTCTCCGCCGACCCTTTTAATTGCACCATTTACATTTGTGGTTAAAATTAAGGAGAAGAGGCAGTTGGATGCAGAATAGTGAAAAAGCCGGTGTTGGAGACGGGAAAAAAGTCCCTAAAACAAATCCTACAGAGAAGCTGTCCCCCAAAGCCCACACAGATTCTGCAAGGTTTGTATTTTAAGATGCTGACAGCATTAAAAAGCCTTCAGGAAAACCCAAACAAACCCAAACCCCAGCCTGCTGGGAATTTACACTACTGCCACGTCACCACTGTTTGCTATTTTTCCTAATACTTACAGAAAAATGAGCTGCGCAGTCGGCTCGCCCTTCCTCTGCTTTAACAAAAGTACTGGGTTTGAGGGGAGTATTTTTTTTTAATATCATTCCTTCTACTCTGCTAACAGAGACCAGGGAGATTTTGCAATGCTTTAGAGTCCAGCAAAAAAATATCCTCCCCGGAGCTATAGGGACGCAGGATACAAACTGCTTCACTCACAAGCAAAGGTGGCTGCAAGGATCACAAAACCCTCCAAATTTAGCCGGTAATGGAAAACTGAACTTTTCCACTCCCAGACTTGCATGCCCAAGTGAGGTACCTGACAGAGATAAATACACATAAATCCAACAAACACACATCCTCCTCTGTGGAGAGCTTCAGTGCTGAAGGCAATGCCATGGGATACCATTCTTCTCCCCTGTTCTCCCTGGCATCGTGGCCTGACCTTAATGGGACTGAGAAAGTCACGGGGCCTTAAAATTCAGGATTACTTGCAGCATGCAGGGTCTGTAACAGGGGGATGCTGGATAACCATGCAAGAATTTTTAGCATTACCTACCCACACCCCCTCTTTGCCGAAGGACATTGCTTCTTATATGGGTTTCTCATAAATTGAGCCCTAAATAAGCAAAACCCCAAGTTATGGGTGTGCTGCTGGTGCAGGACTCTTTAAAAAAAATAAAAGAAACTTCTGAGAGAGTTACCTAAAGTTTGCTTTTTTTTTTTTTTTGCAGCTGACTGAACAAAACCTGCTAAATATTTTCTGACTGCTTCAAGGCCTCCTCGGGCAGCAAAGCTAAAAAACACCAACACGACTTTCAGGCGTGTAATAGTTTGCTGTCAGACTCTTCCAAATTCCCAGGCACTGAATCGCCTACTAGAAGGCAAAATATATGAGTGGCACTAACAAGTCGGCTTAGCAACGAGCAGGCAGGCTGCCTCAAGTGTCTTTTTAAAGGTCAAGAGAGCACATGATGCCTGGGAGCCCTTCTGTTTGGTTTTTACTACGAGTTAAAGATACTACCAGCAAGTCTGGTTATTAAATTGCAGCTGCACAACCTTTTAAAACCAGTCTTTAAAACCGAGGCTTTCCCCCTCCTCAAAGATCATTATCCCTCTTTCAACCCACTCCTACCCTTCCCCATCTTCACAAAAATGGTGGCATTTGAGGGGAAAACCCATGTCAAGATGAAACGCGAGGAAAGGTCCCACCGCCACAGGGATTTTCGGGCAACACCGCCAAGAAGCATCATTGAAATTCAGCGGGAGAAGCTGGTTTTCCTCCGCTCCGCGGGGGCTGCCATGTTAAATCACATTTGGATTCACAGTACAAGGCTGCTAAAATACCACCGCGGTGGCTATTGGCACATTTCAATGAAAACGCCGTGGCCTCATTAGTATAGTGGAAATTATGAGCTTGTCTTTGTATATATTTAAAAGCTTGCCTCTGAAAGTATATTGGGTCAGGGCCAGAAATTCCTGGCTTGGAGCTCCTACCACTCGACAGTTTGGGATTGCCTTGCTCACACAGGTCAATCAACCACGCAGCCATCGACCCGGGAGAAAAGGCATTTAAAAAATACCCTGCAGGGAAAGGCGCGGGGCAGCACTGCAAGAGGAGGCAGAGCAACAGGGTTTGAGCTAAACCCTCCTCCACGTTAGCTCCGTGCGGGGTTTTCCTTGCAAACTTGTTAGTGATCACATCCTAACGAAAGCGCAGATTATAATTAAGAGGATGCAGGAATGTGGGGTGCATGGAATTTCATCCTGCTCCCATCCCTCCCCACAGCCAGGACAAGAGCATCCCGACAACCCAGAAGCACCGTTCCCCTTTGGGGATGGACCACAAAAGACTGAGCCCTTTGCAATAATGGGGAACCTCATGAAATAACATAGTTTTCAGGACCTGCTCATCTCAGTATGTGATTTTGCAAGTCTCTATCAAGGAAAGCTTTTGGGTCAGCTCCCTACTTACCCGCACGGGTGCCGCAAACGCAGCCAAGCCACGCAAACTCAACGTATCTGCTGAACGGCTACCGCGGTTTGGTGCCAGGGATGCTGGAAAAAAAGAAAAAAAACACCCCTAATATTGCACAAAAAGCCAGAGTGAGTGAGGGAGAGGATGAAGATACTGTTTTTAAATGCTTTGATTTGCAAAGGCTCCTATAAATTGATTCAGCTCTTAGTAACGGCACAGAGATCCCCTTTCTAAATGCAGCGATGACGTTACACAGCACAGAAAGAAAATAGAAAAAAAAAAAAAAGCTCAGTTAATCCTTGCAATTTTATAAGCATCTGAGACACTAATCCGTTGATCTCATTGAAAAGGATTAGAATTACCCCCTCGCCAGTAAATTTAAGAAGTTTTTGACCAGATGTAAACAAAAGCGGAGAGCAGCCCATGGAGATGGCTGCCACACAGTGAGTCCTTGCTGAGAAATCCTCATCGGGGCTGGGTTTGGGGTGGAAAAGGGGAATTTCCATCCCAGTGCCACCAAAGGTTGTCTGGAGTGATGCTGGTGTCTGAGGAGACCCTGCCTGTCTTGCCTGGCTGCAACTGAAAGGTGGGATCCCATCCCAGGCAAGCATCCCGACGGGGCAACGCAACCCATTTTTGGGGTCGCACTCTAACAGGAATGAAACTCCAGCTAAAAAAAATAATAATCCCCAAACCCCCGACTTGCTCTTCACTGGCTAAGGGAAACATTATTTTAATATTAAGAAAAAAAGAGGGCAAACTTTTAAGCAGAAATTGGATAATTCACACAAAACCCAAGTTTTGCCCAGCTTCGCAGCAACCTTTGTCTGCACAGCTTTGCGGCGAGGACCTGTGTTATTAAGGTGGAAAAATATAACATGGCATCCCCACGTAAACAGTCTGTCACCTGTTCCTATGCTTGCCATGAATAATATATAACATTAAAGAATAAGTTATTTGGTTCAGAAGATGAAGCAGCCAACACGCAACATGGTTTTTGATACCAAGCACAGTTCACTCCAAAGTTGTATGTCCCGTCTCTTTAGAGAAATGTTAATAGCTGAAATAAATCAAAACCCAAAGGAGGCTTCAAGCAAAAAGGACTCAGGTGATCCTTTAGCAAGGAAAAGCCACTTTTCTTAGAAAACAAAAGTTTTCTAACAAAGAAAGCAAATTTTTGTTAGTGCTTACTTCTTTCCTCTTCTAAATTCCATTTAGAAAAGAAACCTAAAGAGATTTAATATTCAACCTCAGTTTAAACCAGGACTCAGTCTCACCAGGAGTTGTCTTAAACCCACTACTTTCAGAGATGCTTGATGGGACGGCAGCAGAGTCCCTCTTCTACAGCCCATTGTAACGGGGTACCATGTGTTTTCTTTCTCCTTAGGCACAGAACAATATTCTCTTTGCTTCCCCATGAAGCCCAACTCCTAACTCCCTGCAATGCACCCGGCTTTAGCATCCAAAGTTCCTCCAGACTGGAATAAACCACCCGACACCAGGCTCGTCTTCAGCCTCATCCCTCTCACCCGGCTGCAACACATCCCAGCCCTTCACTGACACCTCCCTGACCCCTTCCTCCTGCTGCATCAACCGCAGATGCATGGGGAAGATGCTGCAGGAGATGCGATGGGGCAGGAGACGCTGCAGGAGATGCGACAGGGCAGGAGATGCAAAGGGGAAGCCTCGAAGGTGGTTGGGAGCACACAGCAACTCAGCATCCCCCAGGCAAAGCCACAGCCCAAAGTGCCGCCTCCGGACAACACCCAGTGCAACGTGAGGGGTTTTTTTTGGGTGCAGATGCAAAGGGAGACGGTGGTGAAGGGCTCAGCTGACAGACAGCCAACCTACGCAAGCGCCAGCGGACAGGCTCCAGCCAGCTCTCGGGTGAGATTATCACTATTTACTCAGCCACAAAACCACCCAACGCTGCACAATCCTGTCCTGCTCTGGATGGCCACCACATGCACAGAGTCTCCCAAATGCCTCATCTTTTATTTCAGGCACCAAGCGAGTGAGATGCTGGGTCTTAATCCGGCACTGCTCAGCTAAAAAGGAAAAGAAAAAACCAACCTCGCAGCTGCATTAATAACCAACGAGCCAGGAAATCGCTCTGGGGGAAGCCCAGCTTGGCAACGGGTTTTTATACAGAACAATAGAAAAAGGAGAGTCTTTAAAGCACCGCAAAATGTTTGCCTGCCTGTGAGAAAGCTCTGCATGGAGAGAAGTTTAATTCGATCCTTACGTACGCCACCAATTTAATTTTGTACAGGCTGCAAGCACGAAGAGCCTAGCGGGGGGGGAGGCACGATGCTTGGATGAATTTCTTCTAGTTGGAAGCTATCAGATGGGAGACTGTGCTCCCTGCCACCCAATTCTGCTGGGCAATTTGGCTTCACCCGTCATCTTACCTCCTGAACTGCTCCTCCTGGCTTCAAATGGACCGACTGAAGAACCAAAACCTCCTGCTTCCACGCCTGTGGGCTCCCAGGATGGGAATCTGCATAGCCCCAGCGCTCTTACATTTTCCCCTAAATACTCCTCCAAGCCAAGGAGTCGGGAAACCCTGCACTATTTCCAGGCAGGAAGAGCAGTGATGGCCCCGAGCCGGCCGACGGCTGAAATCAGAAGGGTGGCTGCTCTCCCCGCTCAGCGCTTTCAGTTTCTCTCTTGCAAATGCACTCCCGGGGTGGTTTCCTCTAAGGCGCTTTGCAAGTTAAAAGCTGTATTAGCAGCAAGATTAATCCTCCATGGGGATCAAAAAATAAACCGGGAGAAGTTATTCCTGCTTGCTTCTCACATTCACCGTCCTGGAGCTGGAGCAGAAAAAAGCTACTGGCCGAAGGACTTCCCTGTCTGGGCTTCCTGCGGCCGGCCCTCGCTCCTCCTCCCACTTCTCGGCATCTCCCCGGCTTTTTCCGAAGCCCGATCCAGTTTTAGCTTCGGCGTCGGAGCAACCCGAGACCTTGCAGCTTTCGGCTACGCCAAGGCAGCTGCTCGCAGCTAATTTGGTCCGTGGGCTCTGGCACCCAGCTCCTGCCGCCCGTCCACGCATCGGCACTGAGGCTTTTTGCTTCTCTCGAAGCAGCAAGATTGGGTGTTGGGTTGTCCATACTCCCCAGGCATGTCTTCTCCACTCCTGTCACTGTGCATCCCTGTCTTGGAGACTTCACAGCAGCTCCATCCTCACTGCCGATGCTATTGCTGGCATCCTTTCGAGGTGCTTTGGATGGCTGCTCTTTCCTCCCATCAACATCCCTCTGGCACCTTAATCAGCTCATTAGCCGGACACAGGAGCTCTTGGCACATGGTTGGAACTGTTTAGGTTTCTGGTATTTTTTTCTTTGATGGAAATTAAATGTGCTATACAGGTAAAAAAATAACACGGATGGACTGTGTCATTGCTCCGGGAAGGGATAAGCATCCAAAAATGATGTAGCTCCATCCCAGTGAGCACTCAGGTACTGCTGCATCCTGGGATAGGGTGGAACCAGGTATGGCTCCAACCACTGCGCCCTGCAGAGAAGATGCCAAGGTTTTCCCACTCCTCAGGTCAGGAAGCAAATTACCTCTGCCCATTGCTATCATGAAATTTCAGGGGTTCTGCAGCCTCTCCTCGAGCACATCTTCAATGGGATCACCTGTGTTTCCCAACCAAGCAAGAGGCACTGCCAGGGTCAGAGCTCTCTTGCAGATAAGCCCCGCATCACATCATCGCTGATGTCATCTTAAAACACTGTCAATGAGTCAGGGCGGGAACACAGGCAGGATGGCTCCTCCCGACGCAAAGTCTGAATGGCTTCAGGGCAACGTTGCTATGAAGGGACAGGGAGGGAAGTCCACACAAGCTAGAAGTTATCTTATGTCAACAAGACTCAGCTTTATGATGAACGATTGCAGGAAACAAAAATAAACAGAAACCCAGCTCTGTGACACCAACCACGGCTGAGAGTGAGAAGCCCAAAGACCAGAGGTAGCTTTAAACCCAAAAAACCACCCTCTGGGCTTTGACACCAACGATTTCTAGGTGGCTGAAGACCACCAGAAACATCTGCACCTCCTACCCTGGCCTGAGGGATGAGATTGCTTGGGTTTACGGAGCAGCTGGGTGAGACAGCAGGAGTTTGATCTGGTGGGACAGGACCTCGTCTCACCCGTGCCAAGCACTGCAATCCCACGGCAGAAACATTTCAGGTCACGGAGGTGGGAGCAGGAGGAGATGAACGTGCCCAGCTGTGCCTCTCCCCACCTCTTTAACATCCAGATGGTGTTTTATGGCTACAAGCTAATCACTTACAACATGTCTTCTGCCATACAACCAATGTGGAGGCGACAGATGGATCATTGGGAGTGATGACCCAAGAGGCAACATGTGGAGAGGTGGTCCATGAAAGCCCTCCTAGCAGAGCTAGGTGTCCTTGTATCATACCACACATCATTTAGTCCAGGAGATCAGCTGAAAACATCAGTCCTTCTTGGGTAAAACCTCCAGGCTAAGTTCAGTCTCACAGTGTAGAGAGACATGCCATGAGCAGCTCTGCCGCTTCCTCGCCACATAATCCTCAACCTCCTCCTCCCCATCACCTGCCTTTCCCTCAGGACATGGTCAGGACCACTCTCCAGCCAAGAACGGCGGTAGCAACCAGCGGTCATCATCTAACTTCCCATTTGGCACATAGGGTCTTCTTTATTTGAAGGTCAGACAGATGCCACTAAAATCCAGAGCATGTTGACAAGGTGTCCTTCACAACTGGTCCATCACAGGTATCTCCAGTCACACTTGGAGGCAATTGAACTGGAGCCTGGTCTGTACAAGCAAGAAGTCCCACCACAGCTCCCACCACCTCCACATCTCTCCCCAAATCTGAGACAGCCTTTGACCAAATGACAACGCTCAACTAGCAGACCCAGCGTCCAAACCCAGCTGGAGATGAGAAGGAAGGTCCTAGCCAGTGGCCCAGCCTTGGCATAAACTTTTACCAGCCTGAGCTGCAATAAAGTAAGCAAACCTGAGCCAAGCAGGTGGTCAAGTGGAACTTCAGGAGATTGTGGTTCCACAGCAAGACTGGGAGACCCAGGAGGCCACCACCACACTCACCTCCAGGAGCTCCACCACCCGCTAAGGACAAGGACCTTAACCTGCAGGTATCAACACCATGACACGGTAACCGGATCACACCATCTCTCCTGACTGCTTTCAGCACACATGGGCTGGAAGGATTTACTTTCCTTTTTTTTTTGGTGTGTTTCAAATACCTCAATTAGTGCATTTTGGGTTCCTTCCATGTTGCCTCCAAGCATTTCTTCTGTAAAGGGGCTATATTCTTCCACTGCCAGTTATTGGAGGCAAAGGCTTGTTATTTTTCCAGGCTGAGGGCCAAATTTGTATTTAATTTTTGCTCCAGATGGCACAGCACTCTACATGCATCAGCTGGAGCATCTAACCTGTATGAATAAAGTAATAGAGCAAATAACCTGATTTACTCAGGGGCTGTTTGACACGCTCAAGGTAGCTCTGTTTACACCCATCATAAAAAAAGAAGCGTTAATATGAATTCAGGCTACGGTCTCGCTATCAAACTGAACAGCCACAGGAACCGAAAGAACAACAGGAATCTAAAAAATAGTAATAATATAAAAACTTCTATTTCGCTTTCTCGCAAATCAAGCAGAAAAAAAGGGCTTATTTCAGCCATCAAGGTCTGAGTCTGAACCTAGGTTTAATTCACCTTCCTCTGTCCTCATCAGCCCCAAAGCTGCTGTCAGTAGTGGGTTGTGCAAACCAGGTTTGAACTTCTCCTACCAGCAAGGGGAAGGGTTGGTCAAATCAGATTTTAGCATGTGGTGCTGAGAGCTTATGGCCCTGCTCACCGGAGGAGACGCGAGGAGGACACAAGAGGACAACCACGAGATGCTCCAGTTACGCTTCTGGCTAATTCACCCCGTTTCTAGGAAGCTGCCGCATCCCTCCGGCACAGCCTGCAGCTGGAATACGTTCCCTCCAAACTAAATCACCCAAAATAACCCACAAAAAAAAAAAAGGAAAAAAAAAAAAAAAAGATGTGAGCAGTTGGTTTATCCGCTTGGGCACACGAAACGCCACATAAAATCAGCTGAGCCCGCAAATGGCTGGAAACAAAGGAACAGGGGGGTTTTTTGTGCTTGTCTTTGCTCCGTTCAGAGCATCCTCGGGCTGCAAGAGCCTGTCCTGGAGGCAGCCGAGACAAAGGAAAGGCAGGAGCTGTCAGCAGGAGCCGGCCAGGGAAAACTGGGGAGAGGAGGCACCCCCATCGCCCTCCCCGGCAGCCGCGGAGCCGGGTTCGCGTGTTGCCGAACACGTTATACATGGCAGGAAACTTGAGATCAAAGGAGAGAAGCGTGCCAGAGCAAGATGTCATCCAAACCTCCTGCCAAAGGTGCGCAAGGGAGGGGGGAAATAACCCCCCCCAACACACACACTGCCACATCCAAAGGATCCAGCACTGCTGGTAGGTGCACAGGGTGGCAGGACCCACCAGGATGCTCTCCTCTGTGCACCCAGGCCAAAACAAAGACAGGCTAAACTAAACAAAAAAACCTTAAAACCACAGGAGGTGCATTTTTACCCGTCGGTTTTCAGTCCCGTGGGACTCACACACGTCCCCTGCCAAAGTGGGCGAAGAGGCGGATGCTGGGAGGGCTCCGTACGTGCCTGTACGGCAGGAACGGCCGCCCCGTTTAACTCCAAAAAGCAGCTTTCCCCATTTCTGCGGTTTTGGGTTGGTTTTTTTTTCTTTTTAAGCCCAAGAAGCTGTACCATCCTGTCTTGGCCCCAGGAAAGTGAGGCAACACACCCGATTCCAAGCCCGCAGCTACTGGGGGTGACCCAGGGACCCCGAGCCAAGCATTGGGTAGGACCCTCAGGAGCTCCCCCTCATAAAGGGGGTCCAGACAGGATCGGTGCTGGGTGGGGACACGTCCCCCATCCCTTTGCACCGCGGCCTGTCCCTTTTGCACCTCTGTCACTCCTGGGCAATGCGGTCCCAGGCCACGTTCCAGCCTCTGCTGACCCCTTCTCTGGACTGTCCCCCTCAGCCCCACAAGTGGAGACATTATGGCACTGCCACAGCACTGCCAGCCACCTGGAAAGCACATCCCAATCACCCTGAGTAGGGCCTGCCCTATAGGGGTCTGTGTGGGGAGCAGCAGGGACAGGCCTTGTCCTGCAGGGCACAGTGTCCCTATGGAGGTCCTTGCCCCAGGGGGGTCTGTGGAGCTGCGAGGGAGAGCAGCCTGTCCCCCATGGGGGCTGCTGAGGAGGGGGTGTCCCTGCCCCACAGAGAGGTGCACAGGGAGGGGGCCTTGCCCCACAGAGAGGTGGATAGGGAAAGGGCCTTGCGCCACAGCGGTGCTGAAAGACGGTTCCTGCCCCACAGAAGGGTGCACAAGGAGGGTCCCTGCCCCACAGGGGTGCTAGAGGAGGGGCCCTGCCCCACAGAGCAGTGCACGAATAGGGTCCCTGCCCCACAGAGCGATGCGCAGGGAGAGGGCCCTGCCCCACAGAGGTGCTGAAGGAAGGTCCCTGTCCCACAAAGCGGTGCGCAGGGAGAGGACCCTGCCCCACAGAGTTGCTGAAGGAGGGTGCCTGCCCCACAGAGCGGTGCACAAGGAGGGCCCCCGCCCCACAGGGGTGCTGGAGGAAGTGCGCTGCCCCACAGGGGTGCTGGAGGAAGGGCCCTGCCCCACAGAACAACGCACAGGGAGGGGGCCCTGCCCCACCGGGAGGTCGGAGAGGGGGTCCCTGCCCCACAGAGCAGTGCGCGGGGAGGGGGTGCCCGGTCCTCCGG